AGTCTTGTTTGGGTTTCTTGGGACTTTAGCCTTGCTGCCCTGCCAGTAACAGAAATGAATAAGAAATAATGAGTGTTAGTAGTCAGCTTGGGTAAAAGTAATTTCAAAGATTCCACTCTTCCCTGAAATGAAACTCGCTAAATAATCAGGAGATTTTATTGGTCTGTTATGACTCCAACTGATGGAAAAACTTTATTTACATTCGGCTATAAGGATGGTATCCAAAGGGGCCCTAGTGTTGAAAACTAACAATACTGTTGAAGAAGAAAAGGTTGTATATAAAAATAAACTACAAAAATATTCAGAAAATCATATGTAGTGGAAGAAAAGATTAAAATACTTGTAAGTGGCCTTATAGGTAGACAATTTAAAAGGGAAGCTATAAAAACAAGCAATTTTTAATTCAATTTTTAAAAATCTACAAGGACTCAGCTTGCTCCACCTGCTGTGAAATAGCACATTTTCTGCTTCGATGTTTCTTAGGTCTGGGAATAAGTAGGCATTGCATTCTGACTGCAAGTTCACAATTCATATCTGCCATTAAAGACAAACTCTCTTAAATCCTCTCCCCTTGTCCATTGCTTATTTTCCATATTTACACATAACTTTTTCAGCAGTCTAGTTTCCTCTAAACTAGTTAAAATCTTCCCTTACCAAACTGTTCTATAGCCAATTCTGACAGCAGCCACAGGACACTTGTAAGCCAAAACCTCTGCCGATAAACAGCAACAAAATTGTTGATTTGTTTACATTCAAAAGGAAAGATCATGTCACTTCCAGGGTCACTTCTGTAGCTGAAGGTTGATGTCCTTTCATGTTCATCCACTTTTGTTATTAAAAGTTGTTCATTTTCAGGAACCAAATGAATACCTGCCAAACAAAAGAGACACAGATCTCCATTAGATAATTTATCTGCAAGTTATGTAACAACAAAAAAACCCAACAACTGGAAAATGTGATAGTTGAAAGAACCATTTCATGGTCAAGAGAGTAACCTTTTTGGAGGATGTAATGCACAGTACTGCTCAACCTCACTAATTTTCCACTTCATTGTGTCAAACAGAAGATCAACATAATTTTACTCACCATGGGTATCCTTTTCCAAAAGGTAACAAATGATACACCGGACAGTTTTCATGATAACCTGAGGTGAGTTCATAAACATTCGTAGGACACCATGCATCTGTCTAACATCATCTTGGATCCCTGGATAAACATAGGACAACTCCCACCCCTGTGTCCCCCTCACTTTCAGATGTAATTTATGTGGAAGTTGGTCAGCTATTGAAGAAAACAAAGTGCAGTCAAGTCTACAAACTCCAAAATGTGCTAAAAATGTGATCTATTGGCTACAAAACTTAGCCTGCGAGAGCTAAAAAAAAGTCTTGCCTTGCAACAAATGGAATGCAATACTCACTATACTACAGCAATTTCAAATACTAATTCTGTTCCACTTAAGTCTAACTGTAGGTTGACAAAGAAATTAAGTAACCACCAATTCACACCAAAGCTTAAGCGTATCTTAAAGCTGCACGTTTTGTTAAAAACAGTTTAAAATTAGATAATTTGGTTTCATCAAATTAAACATCAATGAGTTGATGATGTAAATTGGCCATGTTAGAGAGTTTCTAAGCTGATGTTTAAAGGGTTAGCCCCTCTTTGGAGTGAATGATGAGCTGCTCAAGCCAATGTTTGTCAACTTCAAATTCTACACAGTGAAAATACAAGTTAGTGACTCAGTACTTCAATGAACCATATTGGAAATTCAGTTGTTCAGTTCTCTGTTTCTGATGTTCATTCAGTTGAACACAGTTGAACTGAACATGTTTTGCTGATGTGAAAAGGGTATTAGACTTGAAATAATTCTGCACTTTGAACGATTCCTGAAAAAATCCTCTTGCCAGCTGGGCAAATGAGGGTCAGAATCTGCCAGCCTGACCTAAGAATCCACTGGCCCCTGGCTTACTGTACCCAACCAATAAGGTTTGTAACAATGTTAACTAAATATGAAAACCAGTACATTCAAATCAAAACAGGTTATAATCCTCTGAAATGCAATTACCAGGTTCATTATCAACCTCCATTCTTTCTTCCCCATCAATGCCATATCTGGCCTCAAGTGTTAGTTCCCACTCCTGTTGGTGGAATACAGATAAAATTGTGATTACCTGTAATAGGCCTCCTTCAATCTACACCAAAGCTGGTTTAAACTCAGCAAAAGGAACTCATATTCTGTGATTCACTTTGTCACAAAATGCTTGAATTGTATATAACATTATCATCATCGAGGTTACTGGCTCTGCATAATGTTTCTGAAGCTACTTAACAATGAATTATGTAAGTTTTAAAGATGATGGGCCAAAATACAATTTTGTATCATGATGAACACTTTTGACAATTCTTCTTTCTCATCAAGAAAATTGGAAAATAGATAAATGCAGTTATGTCTTAACAAAGAATTGTATAACTTTGCTGAGTGATGTGTTTGCGGGTGGAGGAATAATGAGAAACAGTTTATTCTTTCAAATTCCCAGACTGATAACCAAGTTATGTTTACCATTTTTTATTTATTCCAATATCTATCTACAAAACTTACCTTACAACTGTACTGCAAGCTGATACTTGATTCTGAAAAAGAACAGTTTACAGGTAAAAATTGAATCAACAAGGAACCTGATTTTCTGCTTTACTATCAAGAGTGACTAAAAAAGATCAGAGAAGGAAGAAGAATATTTACATGTATTGATTTAGGAATATTCTTTGTTCTGACAAAAAAACTCTCGGAGTTTAAATTAAAGAAACGTTCGACAGTCAATACAGCCAAGTAGCTAAAGTTATACAAGTTAATCTGTGCATTTAAAGTTAATCAAGCTTTAGATGTGGGATACAAAGCATGTTGAGGGTCATTTGGCACTTCGTGATCAACATCAGATAGTTTGGGAGGGCTAAGTTTATTTGATTCGTAAAATTTATCGAATGCGTAGGGCTGCCGGTCATTTAGCCATTGCATGACTGACTCGATGACTGTTTGGAGAGAGTACTGGGCTTTTCAGTTATTTTCGCACTAGCAACACCAAGTGATACATGAAATTGCAGTCAGGCGACCCTAAAAACTGGATTGGCGGAATGATGCGATGGCGTAAAATTACCTTAAATCCTAAAAGATGGAACTACGGAAATTCAACCCAAATCCTAAAGTGCTTGGCTTGGTTTTGAAGCACGTTTTTGTTTAGCTAAGGACCGCGAAGAAATGTTTCAAGTTTTCTGATGTTCCTTCCCGTTCGATCCTTTGTTTTGCAACGTCCTTGTTACCCAGCCGTGGTCTCCTTAGGGACCCTAATGGGCTTAAATGCCCGACAGTCAGAAATTTTCAATGAATTCAAATACCTTTCTTTAACACGGATGAAGCCATTCTGCACTTGCGTTAAACTCTTGCATGGAGGAAGAACGGGGAATCGAGAACTGAGCAAATGTCCCATCATTCTTGGTATTTTAATAGTTCTCGCAAGGGCAGGAGAAAATAAAACGAAAACTGGACTTAAACGCAAATGGGTTTATATAACCCTTAGGGTGTTTTCGCCCTTCCGATTGGCTTTCACCTGTTTTCACCTCTTCTGATTGGCTTTTACTATTATCACGCGACACGGTAGAGAGGCAATTGGTTCAATGGCTTCGACAATGGCTTCCTGTTGACTCCTACGTATGCTTAAAGTAGAGCACACGGTCCTGCAAGCCAGTGGATTAACTTTAATTTGTGTACGTGAACCTAAAAATCATCGTAGCTATATAGAAACTTTGTAGATAGAAATAAGAGAGATGGTTATAGCGAATTTTTTTTCCAGAAGGAAAGAAATAAGGAAATACCTAGAAGTGAAAGATGAAGGGATAAGTGATGACCTTTTACACAGCTTTTACGTTGTTTTCAGGTTCCTGTGCGGGATAAATCGATTGCAAGGTGGTTAGTTTTGTGAATCGAAGATGATGGACTTAAGGGCCCAGAGGAAAATGATAATGACATAGAGTAAGTGGGGCAACGGTAAACTGTAGAAGTGATTGGTCTAGATTCCAGAGACAGCCTCCTGCCTCTATTCCTTATGCAACAGTAGATGATTGAACAATTGACTGCTCTTGAGCTGGAATAACTACAAACATAGAAAACAGTATTGTTTTGGAACTATGAGTGTGTTTTTTTTTATCGTTTTTCTCATTTTATGATTTTTTTTAACCCTTTAAATCTTAGAAGTGATTAACAAGTAACTTCTCCCAATAATATCTAAACATTATCCAGGGAACAGGTCATGAGAGTGTTTATACTTATCAGGTAAAAGTTGTTATCTTGATCTGACACCAAATTCTCTTAACTTATTTACAAGGAAATATGTAAATGCTAGAGGGGAGAATTACCAATCAGTACTTGAGAGGTAAAGGGTTAACAAAGATGCCCATGTTGTCGCCCCCAATGACATACAACATACCTTAGACAACTTCTCTAACTTTTTCTTGATCTACCTAACAGTGGAAACATGCTAAACAATTTTTTTTTTGATTCTGCTCTCATATTTTCCTGTTTGACAAATTGTCTTTTGACCCTTTGAAATGTGCTTTGTTTTTAATTTTAAGTGAGGATAAAGTTGTTTGACAACTATTGCACTATTCACTCTGTTCCAAAATAGCTTAAGGAAGCAAAAATGAAAATTATTACTTGATGTGTAATATTTTGAAACATTTTAAGACTATGACTTGACCCTGAGTTAACTGAAAACATATGCATATGAATCAAGTATCCACGTCCCTCCTAAAGATCAAGAGAAATAGTGAAGCAATGATTTAATTTGAACCTTGAAAACATCACAAGCTTTTAGTTTACTCTTGCTTCTTTCTTTTGCATTTTTTAGTTTGCTAAATAACAAACAAAAAATAATAATAATATTATGGCAAGTTCACATTTTGCAATTTTTAAGCTTGTAATCTTTCAAGGGTTAAATTATATAATTGCTTCTCCAAAAAGAGAGATAAAGTAAAATGATTTTTTTTTCCAGTCTGTAATAACTTCTAAAAAATTGCTTGCAGTTACTAGAATGATACTCACCTTGTGATTGGAGTGTGCAATACCAAGGATGATAGTTATGAGATTTTGGACGAGGTTTAGCTCCCCGCATTGAATATTCATGACATAACCATATATCACATACACTGGAGGTACCTGACTTCCATCTTCTTGTACAACAGTACACTCACAGTGGCATTGAAATCTAGCAAGTTAGGAGGTGAACTTTTCATTTTTTCAGTAAGCTGCTGAAATCATCAAGGGAAGACTTGGTACTTTTCCTGGTTACATGTGAGAGATAATGACAGCTGTTTCGAGAAGAACATTGCTCGCGTGACATTTGCGTTACGTTTAAAAGTTTATTTAGTTTAATATTTCACCTTTTCTTTTCACTTATTGATTACCTTGATTGACACTGAAATATGAGTAAGTTGATGGTTTTTAGTTAGTTTTTACACGTGTCGTGTCGGAGGCATGAATCAGGATAGCTTTCCCGTTTTTGATGATTATACAGTTTAGTTTAACTCTGGAATCCCGTCACGAAGTAAGTCAGTTGTTTTAAGTCGTTTTTGGTTTCCTTAGGCTTTGTTACATTCAATTATTCGCGTTGATTTCTGTTAGTGTAATTTCTGTAAGACCGCATGTAATTAGCGGTCAAATCTGTTCGCGTTTTAAGATTATATGATGTGCTTAGGTCTCTTAATTTTGGTTAGGTTCTGTTGTTTAGAAATCTTATTTATTTATTGTTTCAGATCGAATAAAATTATATTTATACGATTCGGGATTCTTTAGAGCCACGCAAGTAATTTGATTTTCATCCGACGGATCAACAGCAGTTCCAGGTTTCTGTACACATAGGCTTCTAGACTGTTCATCAATCTGATATTTGGCACATTTTTTGATGCTGCAAGTAGGTAGCATCGTAATAGGTTTTGCTATTGAGGCTGGAAAGCTTGTCTGCTGTGCAACCCTTTTTAATTCAGTATTTGCATGTTCTGTCAACTAAATATAAAACAGAATGTTACTCTCTTAATATTGGTAAATATTTTCATTTTTATTTTTTCGCATGCATTGACAGGCAGTTTACAAGTGAAAACTTCCACACCAAAAAAGAACAACAACAATAAGAACCATAAAAAAAATTTAAATTTATCGTTATTAACGTCCTATTTCCGGCCCGATCAATCCCTTCTGTTCATCTTACTCCCTGTGTGGAGGCTATGGTTTTCCTGTCAACCAATCCAAAAAATTGAATTGATCCATTCTCCTAGAGTTCATAATTTGGCAACCATACCGCTGACAAGGAACCAAAATGACCCTGGGCTCAAGATTGACGAGTGCCAATGAACGTTGTTTTATAATCCACTGTTGTAGATTTAATTCCCCCGGGTTTGAGATCTCCTAGGGAATAATTTAAGGTTACTTCCCACCTTCAGAGGCCGAAAAAATCGGTTTTTTTTAAAAAATGAATTAAGAGACATGTTACCTAACGTGTACAAAAAAAATTCAAAAAACTAAAAAAAGCGTTCTACTTCCCCAGAAAATTAAAAACATATTTTCAAATACAAATTTATTAATTAGGAAGGTGTCATAATTTGTATATGGGCAAGTCCCCTGAGAGTAATTTTCCCAACAATTTCATGTCTTTTGCATATTTTGTTTACATCGCGTACTTGACAAAATTCTCATTCAATGCATGCCTTGACAATCACGTGCTTTCCTTCCAAAACTGGATGATAAAGTCCATGTTATTTCTAGCCACTTTGAGATAGTTTGTTTTGCTGTGAACTCTCTAAGGACAGCATCAGACTTCTTAATTAAATTATCAATGATACATTTCTGTCGTTTTGAAACCTGGAAATGAGAGCTTCCACCGGTCACTTGTACAAGTTGCCGGTTTTCTCCGACGGTGTTAAACATGCGTAAGAATAAACGTCGTGATCTACAACACACGTGTCTACATCGTGAGACAAACGAAAACTTAGCTTTTATTGCTTAAGAATAAATTTCAAGTTAGGATGATATTTTTTGCTGATGTTGCAATTCTTTAAAAATCTTTGTGTTTATTTCCTAACATCCATTTCGGTTTCTATCTTATTTAAGCTGGATTACTACACTACAAATAAGAGGGAACTGCCTTTGTGACCAATAAATACCTCTATTTGTCCGCTGCGTAGGTGGCTGCGTCAGTATTGGTGCACCACTGGCGCAGGTCGGCAGCTTTTGTCCAGATAAGCGGAGTGGTCTTTATTCAGCTGGACTTGGACAAGCGCGTGTGAGTTTCGCGGTCCTGTGAACTCGGGTGACCACGGTGCACTTTAGGGGCGGGTGTTTTCGTTGCTTTTAGCTATCAATTATTTTCCATGGTTAATGGTAATCAGTGAAGCACAGCAATACTTGTTCTCTTTAGCATTTCTTGTTCAGGTCTCACCTTTCTATTATGCTCCACTAGATTCTTTATCTGTACCTCTACTGTTTAATGAAATTGATATGACAGCAGTTTTAAAACTTTGTGAACAGAGCAACTCCCAAAATCCACAACATGTTAACTCACTGTCGCTGTTGTTGTTATTGTTGTTGTTTTTTTTTTTTTGCGGTAAACAGGTTGACATGCTCCTGCAGGAGAGTTACAGTGTGAAACCTCATATCATGGCTTCACATGATCTGACATTAGTTATTTTGTGTTCCTAAAGGTAGGAATATAGCCAACTCTCTATAATCCCTACACAGATGTGGCTTGAAACAAACCCAACTTTGGAACAGGAGCCAGTTTTAATTTCAAATTTGATAGGCAAGAGGATGAAGACGCGCGGGGCGAGACACCGGAAGCTGGAGGTTTTTTTTTTCAATTCGCGCTCCTCTAGCTGCGCAAGCCTCGTCTCTTGCGCTTTCCTCTGCTCA